ACGAGCGAGAGGCTTCGTGCGACCGCCGACAGGGCGGGCCGCCAAGTAAACTCTAATGTTTCTACTACGCTCTCTGTTCATACGACACAGTGCATTACGACGGTTGGCGCGGCTACGGCTCTAGTTCCCGAGGTCGTCGTGCCCGAGACTCCTTTCTCCGCTTTCTCTATTCCATTAATTCATTATCGGTCATTTCATTCGTTCGCTTGTCTGTGCGTTCGATTCGTTTAAGGGCTCGGCGCCCTTGCCTACCATCACCGTCGTGCCAGCGGTCTCGTGGTCGCCACTGGCGCCGGCTCGTGTGTTTTGTGTGTCCCTCCCTTCCCGCCCGGGATGAGTGGTGTTTGGGGCTCGCGTGCAATTGAGCTTTAAATCCCGACTATATTGGACCAACCATGCAAACCATGGCTATCTTCTACATTCACAGGGTGGGCTTCGGGCATGGACCCCAGGCGAAGTCAAGGCATCGCCGACGTGCTACATGGGCGCCTCTAGCAGGCACCCCCGCGCTCCTTCCTCGCCACATCTTTGCATGTGAAGTATAAGCTCGGGTCCTCCACTCTCGCAAAGACCATCTCCAGCGTGCTTGTCCCCGTGGGGTTGCTGAATTGGTGGTACGGCTTCCCTTCTAGCAGCCTCGACTTGTGTACGCGGAGCGGATACGCTGGAGCCGATCCCAGTGGCCTGCCCGTCCAGAAGGCGATCGCGGCAGGGGAGTCGGCCATGAAGCGAAACGCGTCACCAGGCGCGGGCTGGTACGGCCCTGTGCTGACGACGCTCACGTAGACATGCCCGCCCACCTTGGTGACGCGCGCCATCTCCCGCACGGTCATCCACCAGAGAGGGTCATGCTCGAGGGTCGAGATGGCCACACTCAGATCGAACTCGCCCGTGCGGGACGGGATCTGGTAAGCATGCGAGGCATGCCTGCGTTTGCCACGGCCACCGGAGCCAAGTCTCGCGTCATGCAGATCGAACACGTACCCATGACCCGCCAGCAGTGCTGTCGCGGAATGCACCTCTGCGGATTGGGGCCCCACGCCTCCAATGTGTAGCGCGCGCGGCGCGCGTCGGCCAGGTGAGCTGCCCGTCGTGACCGTTGGGAGAGCCCCAACAAAGTCTCGAAGACCCTCCAGCCGCTGAGCTCCCTGGTGCGCACCCTGGATCCAGCCCTTTATCCCTGAGCTTCCGGTGATGTTGTGGCAGGTGCCGCTCATCAGGGAGCCCTTTACGCACTGCATCCCGAGATCGGGCAGGGTGCTCGCGACCGCCGGCTCCGTGGTACGAAGGAACGTCATGCAGCTCTCGTGTAGGGTGCCGCGAAGCAAGTAAACGTCGAGCAGCTGCAGCGGGTACGACGGCAACCCGTGGAGGTCGAGGCCTATCCAGAACGCGAGCGCCGCTCCCGCATCGGGAAGGAAGCGGTAATTGTCGCCCGGGTGCGCGTGGTACTGCCCCGTACTCGGCGTAAGGCAGAAGACGTGCCCGCCGAGCCGCGTGATGCGGGCCATCTCGCGGATCGTCAACCAGAACATGGGGTCGTGCTCGAACGTGCTCACCGTGATGGACACGTCGAAAGCGCCGTCCGAGAACGGGAAGGGCGAGCCGGGCGTGTACACCACGTCGACGCTCGAATGGGCCTCGATGTCCATCGAGGTGTAGTTGCACCCTCGCGCCTCGAACGTCTTCCTCGGGCCGCCTTGGATGACCCTGCCGCCGACGTCCAGGACGCGGCAATTTGGCTGGCTGTACTTGCGGGCAAAGGCATTTACGCTTGCGCCCTCAGCGGGCGTCCAGCTGGCGCACAGCTGCGCAGAGTCGAGGAGAAGTAGCCACGACAGCGCCCACCCCAGCCGACAGCCCTTCATCGACTGAGGAAGAGAGAGTTGTGGCCAAGGTTGAGGGCAAAACGGCGGGCTGATGTCCTCCGTGCCAGACGTCGCCACGGAGATGTCCTTGACGTCGTTCTTGACGCCGCAAGCCTGTGGGCGAAAGAGAGTAGTACAGGCTTTCGGAGACGGGAGAGGGATGATCACGATCCTGGCGGGCGCACGCGCACCTTGGCTCCGAGGAGCGAAGTGGCCTTGTCCGAGTCGACCGTGCCCGCGGCGGGCGCCTCTGCCGCGGCCAGGTCTTTCTTGATGATGCTCTCGTCGGAGGCCGCCGCGCCAGACTTTGCGGGGACGTCCTTCACGAGGGCGTTCTTGGCGCCGCACGCCTGTGGGCCAGGGACGATACGGCGGCGTTGGGACGGGAAGATCGCGCTGATAGGATGAACACTCGCATAGACAGGCACCTCGGCTCCGAGGAGCGAAGGGGATTCCGACGCAAACGAGAGGACGATTGTGACTCGGCCGCCGTCGCCAGCCGGCACGAAGCCGACCTTCGCTTTGTAGTCGATGTTGTCCATGATCCTGTGCAAGTCGCATCATCACATGAAAGTTGAGAC